TGAACCCTCTTTGTGTCCTAATGAGATGCAAGTCCAGACTCCGGTAGGAGCCTTGTATATGAAGTGGGAAATAATAACCATTTGCTTGCTTGCTCTGGGAATCAGATGAGGTCATGTATGTGAAAGGGCTTCCTATCTGGGAGTGAGGTGCTAGAGTGGTTAGGACAACAACCAGTGGTAGTAAGAAAAGACTTCTGGGGAAGTCTTTGTGGCTGGGGTCACAGGTGCCAGGGCAGCATCTGAGTGAGGTTAAAAAGGAGAAACGGGCGCCTGCGTGGCTCAGTCGGTTGAGCGTCCGACTTTGGCTCAAGTCATGATCTCCCGGTTCGTGGGTTCGAGCCCCATGTCAGGCTCTGTGCTGACAGCCAGCTCAGAGCTTGGAGCCTGTTTCGGATTCTGTGTCTCCTTCTCTCTCTGCCCCTCCCCCACTCATGCTCTGTCTCACTCTGTCTTTCAAAAATAAATAAATTTTTTTAAAAAAGGAGAAACAGGTGATGGCACATCACCTGGCCAAAAGGAGGGCATATAATGGGAATTTCTGACGTAGGCAAGATACAATGTACTTATAAAACTTAATTATCTGAACCTTCTGCTAGACCCTTGCCAAACTGACAGCAGACATTTTGACAAATCCATTTCATGTCCCAGAAGATAAAAGCGATAATAGGTTCCTGCCGCTCTGGATCTAACTCTGACCAGAACGATGAAGTGTAAACCACAGGAACATGAGAAAAAGCAGTGGTATCTCTGCTTTCAGGCTGGCTTGGAGGTCAAAGCCAGGCCAAGAAATGCATACGTAATTTTTAAAAAGCCAGACTTGTAAGAGCAGGAAAAGATAACCATTAGTTAATAGTCTTGCCCTCTTGAGGGAAAGTTCAGGATGCTCTCAAAAATGTCACTCTAGCTGCACAATTACAATTAAGCTGGTGAGAAACAGAGCAAACACTGCCCAAACACTGAGCCCTCACACAAATTGTGTTTTCAGAGGACGTATATAAAAGATAGAAACAAAAACCTAGAATCAAGACATGGATTTTTTTTTAGAATAGTCTCAGGAAAGTATAAGTCTTTGATACGCAGGAACAGGTAAAACAGATAAAAAGGCAAAAAGGATTCTTGTTTTCTCCTCAGGTACAATGCTGACTGGAAGGAAGTGAGAGACCCTTAGCCCAGGGCTAGTGTCTTAGTTTTGAAAGCGAGAAATATACTTCTTTGATGATCTTTGAATGACATTGGCAAAATGTTAATAATTGTCAAGGCTAAGTAACGGACACAAAGGAATTCACTAGATCATTCTCTCTACTTGTGTGTATGTTTGAAATTTTTCATGGTATATAAAGTTTCTTTAAAATTACATTTACATAGAAACTCTGGGGAACAGTTGATAAGGGAGACCGCAGTTGGGTGAACACTGAGTTACAGTACCACCAGCACCTAAATTAGTGGTGGGAGAAAAGAAAGGAGGTGTATCTGGGAGTACCACCTTTTTTTAAATAGCTAGAATGTTTGTTGTTGTATTGCCCTGGGAGAACTCCTACACATACCAGCTTTGAGCGACAATCACTGTGTTGATGCACTGTTTGTGTCACTTGTTAGAAAAGCTATAACTGGTGGAAGAAACTGGGTTTTTGGTGTTTTTAACAAGTCCACGTTGATGACAGAAGCCCCACCGAGGCCTAGGGGGCAGGGGACACAGACCTTCTGAGCTGCACCATTTTACACCTCTGGATTGAGGGTAGCCCCAGGAGAGGCCTCTGAGTGACACCAGGGTGCTCGCCTCTGAGGACAGCCCTGTACTCAGCTACATCACTAGGGTCTTGGCCAACTTGGAAACTGTTCTCATTCGCTTCTCGCCCTTCCATGTGGATATGCTGCCTTCTTGTGTTTCTATTAGAATAAAAATAACAAAAAGCAGGATTGTGTGTGGAAACCAAAGAAGACAGATTACCCTTCTCAGACTCCTTTACTGCTTCTTCCTGTTCTCCCCAACTTCTCAATGGTGGGGTGCCCCCCAGGACATTTTTCTGTATCTGTATTCACTCCCTGGGTGACCTCATCCAGATTTATTACTTCAAATACAACATACAGGTGACCCTTGAACAATACAGGTTTGAACACCACAGGTCCACTTATGCATAGATTTTTAAAAAAATAAATACAGTAAGTGTAACTTATCTTTTTTTTTTTTTTAATGTTTACTTATTTATTTTGAAAGAGAGAGCACACGAGTCAGGGAGGAGCAGAGAGAAAGGGAGAGAGAGAATTCCAAGCAGCCTCTGTGCCATCGGCCCCAACGCGGGGCTCAATCTTATGAACCATGAGATCATGAACTGAGCCAAAATCAAGAGTCAGGCACTTAACCGACTCAGCCACCCAGGCACCCCTTATGATTTTCTTAATAACATTTCTTTTCTCTACCTCACTTTATGGTAAGAAAGCAGCATATAAGTTCACAGCAGCACTCTCAACAATAGCTGAAACATGGAAAGAGCCTAAGTGTCCATCAACGGACGAATGGATCAAGAAGATGTGGTTTATCTATACCACGGAATACTACATGGCAATGAGAAACAATGAAATCTGGCCATGTGTAGCAACATGGATGGACCCTGAGGGTGTTATGCTGAGCAAAATAAGTCAGGCGGAGAAGGACAAATATCATATGTTTGCACGTATAGGAGGATTAGGAGGAACTTGACGGAGGAACAAGGGCGAGAAGAAGGAGGGAAATGGTGGGGGAAAGGGAGAGAGGCAAACCATGAGAGACTCTTGAATGCTGACAAAAACTGAGGGCTGATGGATGTGGGGGGGAGGGGGGATGGTGGGCATGGAGGAAGGCACTCGTGGGGATGAGCACTGAGTGTTATGTGGAAACTAATCTGACAATAAACTATTTGTAAAAAAATAAAAATAAATTTTAAAAAAGCAGCATATAATACATATACAAAATATGAGTTAATCAACTGTTTATGATATCAGTAAGGCTTCCTGTCAATAGTAGACTATTGGTAGTTAAGTTTTGGAAGAGTCAAAATTTATACGTGAATTTTCAACTGTGTGGAAGGTCAGCACCCCTAACCCCTGTGTTGTTCAAGGGTTAACTATATGTTAATAACTCCAAATGCCATCTCCAGGCCAGACCTGGCACCCAGCCTCCAGGCTCCTACATCTGCCCACAACATCTCCCTTCGGTGGTTAGGTGGACATCTCAGAATTCAGACTGTCTGCTGTCTTGGACCAGCTCCACCCAGAGCCTTCCCTGTCTAGGTTGATGGCAAGTTCATCAGGCCAAAATCTCTGACTTCTCTGTTCCATAACCTACGTCAAGCACATCAGGAAATTCTGTTGTCTTGCCCTTCAAATTATGTCAAGATTGCAGAGTGCTTTTCACACCCCTATTACCACCATCCTAGCTTGAACCACTATCATCCCTCCTAGACTGCTGGTCTCCCTATTTCTGCCATTGCTGCCCTAATGGTCTCCTCGGCGTAAGTTAAACCATGATACTTTTCCAGTCAAATGGCTGCAGACTTTCCATGGTCTGTCTCCCCTTATCTCTCTGCCTTTATCCGTAACCTGACTCTCCCTACTCAAGCCATGCTGGCATCCTGAGGTTCCTCAAGCAGTCCTAGGTATTTCCTTACCTCGGCTGTGCACGGCTGAGCCCGTCACCCACACCTGTTTCTGTAGATATTCCCTGAGCCACCTCCCACACCTCCAAGTCTTGCTCAGATGTCCCCTCCTCAAGAAGCGAGGCTCACCCACTCTGACCATTCTGCCTTATAGTGCCAGTGTCACCCCCAGCCCCCTTACCCCAAGCCATCTCTTTGTCTCACTGACTCCCTTCTAACATGCTCTATTAATTTGCTTATTTTGTTTACTTTTTATCTCCTCCTGATAGAATGTCAACTCCATGGGAACACCAGTCTTTTGTTCAGTTCATCAGTGTATTTTGTGGGCCCAGAACAGGCCCTGTCTCAATAAAGTATTGGTTAAAGGGTAAATAGAGGCTGTCAGGGAGGAGGAAGGACGGGCCAGCAGTGTCAGGACAGCCAGGGAGCCCAGCAAGACAGGAACGGAAGGCTCTCTCCTGAGTGGTGACCCTGGGAAACCCCTTCTCTTTAGCCAGGGAATCCATTGGAAGGGTCTTGCCTCATTCGTGTCGGGGCAGCAGTGAGCTGCGGGAGCCTTGAGGTTTCTTCTTGGGAGAGGGTGGAAGTTCAGTCATCCTCACACCTCAGAGTGCCCTTCTCCAGCCAGCCTGAGGGCCTGTCCCGGGTCCACACTTGGGTACCTGGAAGCTGACCCCATGCTACAAACACCTTGTGTCTGCTGATCACAGAAGTCAGTCATTCTCTCTACTGTAGCTTTTCAAACCTTTCAAACCTATCTGGTTTACAGCTGTGAGAAAATTGAAAGCATTTGCAGTTACTAGACCGCTGGGAGTTACTCTCTGCTAACACTTTTAAGAAAGTTGTTGGTTTGAAGTTGGTTATATTATATAAAAATTATGTGAATTTATTTTGTAAAAATACAATTGAATGTGTTATTATATTTATAAGCTTATTCTGTGTTTACCTCTTCCTTACAAAAAGCTGGTTGTTACTTAATAACTAACTTTTTTCGTTTTGTTAGACTTTATAAGTAAAAGCTTGCCAATTCCGTTAAATAGCATGCTTGTCGTTCAGTAATATTAATCCTAGAGCTGTTTTTCTTATTTGGGATAAGCCCTGATGGGTCATTCCAATAAAAAGCCCAGTGGGAGGTTGCACCCTCTCCCAGCGCCTTGTGGGGACAGTACCCTCTCGAAGTAGGTCAGAAAGCTCAGCTTATGAGAGTCGTCTTCTCACACTGGCTTCCTGTGAACCAGGACATGGTTGTGATGAGTCATCAGAAAGGTGCTTAGAGTTGGTATTGGGGGGAACAGCCTGACAGGAGGTGCGGTGACAGTGCTGATTCTGGGGGCTGGGATAATAACTCCGTACTTTCCTTTCTCACAGTTGTTTCCTCTCTTTGCTCCTGGTGGCTGCTGTGGTTTGGAAGATCAAGCAAAGTTGTTGGGCCTCCAGGCGTAGAGAGGTAAGCCTCAGTGGATAAAGGTTCATGAATGCCTGTAAGAGCTTCTTCCTTTCCATTCCTCTAAAGCAAGTCAGTTTTAGCTATTTAGTGATCATTGATAGGCATACTGTAGAGGGAATAATGCTGCCCTTTCTGCAGAATGTGGTCAGTAGATTTCAACTAGTGCTATACAAAGTATAATTAATTCTGCACCACGTGCTTTTAACTTTCTAAAAGGAAACTTTAGTATTGACGTACTGCTACCAGTTCTACCAGAATTCTGTCCTTAACTCAGGCGGGAGATCTGAGGGCTCAGTAGCAGGGCCTTTCATGGGAACAAGAGTAAAATCCATCAGCTAAGCATCTCAGAAATGTTTCTTCACTTAAGGAAAGATAAATCAGTGTCTAGTTCAGTTTTTGCCTGAGTTTTATTTTCTAATGAGTCTTGATTTATTTCTAGAGTTCTGTTCCAAAAGAAATACCAATAAGTCAGGCAAATATTTAGTTGACAAATCAAATAAGTAAACTTGGTTAAAAGCTACAGCATAAAATCTTTATTGTAACTTTCACCGATGTTATTTGCCTTCTAGTCATTCTGTCTATTACATCATTGCTAATGGAAGGGCACTGAGATCTAGACTGACGTAGGCTCCTTGATTTTATGTATCTACTCATGTCCTTTTGTATATAAAAATTAATCTGAGGGCATCTAGGTGGCCAGTCAGTTGAGCGTTTGACTCTTGATTTTGGCTCAGGTCATGATCCCAGGGCTGTAGGATCAAGCTTCATGTCAAGCTCTGTCTTGCGCATGGAGCCTCCTTGGGATATTCTCTCTCTCTCTCTCTCTCTCTCTCTCTCTCTCTCTCTCTCTCTCTCTCTTTCTCTTTCTCTTTCTCTCTCTCTGTCTCTGTCTCTCTCCTCCCTCTGCCCCTCTTCCCCACTTATGCTTTCTCTAAAATAAAAAATTTTTAATTGCATTAAAAATTGATCTGTAGACAAAATTTAGAAGAGAATGGGAATGAGTGAAATCAAAATTTACAGGCACACATTACTATTCACTAAACTTTAGTGTCTTTAATGAGGTTAGCATAGGCTCCAGGATATTGGCCTCTTCCTGGTGGCCATGACCCCTTTTCTGAACCATGTAAAGGTGTTGTTATCATAGAGATAATGTTGCATCCTTTTTGTTATCATTTTTAAAATTCAGTGGGTAACATATTCAGAGGGATTTTTTTAATAGCTATGTTACAAGACATTTTAAAATCCCAGTATATTGGACAATGTTCTGAAAAAAATATAAGTTATCCGAATGGAATTAGAAAGAAGTAGGAAGCCTCAATAAACCAGTGGCCAGGGAAGGAATTGAAAACTTGTCAAGCTATTCCTCTCTCCATGGAGGGCATTACTCAGAGATTTTGAGTTTGAGGCAAGCTTATATAAATAATAATAGTCTATTTCTCCTTTAGTGCTTATGAGAACTAATTACTTCCAAAATACATACACTGTTCCTGAGTAAGGGAAAAGATGAACAGCTTAAGAGAGTCCTGATTCATTGTATGCATAGAAACATTGAAACCAAAACCTGAGAAAAGTAGCACCAAAAAATAAAAGCCAGTCACATAATGATGTGTGTGCAGCAGTCTAGCTGACCAGTGTAATAAAAAGATCATTTCATACCAGAAAATCTATTGGAATAAGTTATATCAGTGAGTAAATATAGAACCTAAATTTGTAGTAGTGGCCAGATAGTCATGTCATCTTTTATTGAAATTCAACACCCATTCCTAGATTAAAGACAAAATTCTTGGGGCGCCTGGGTGGCTTCAGCCGGATAAGCGTCCGACTTCGGCTCAGGTCATGACCTCATGGTTCATGGGTTCGAGCCCCGTATCGGTCTCTGTGCTGACTGCCGGCTCAGAGCCTAGAGCCTGTTTCAGATTCTGTATCTCCGTCTCTCTCTGACCCTCCCCTGCTCACACTGTGTCTCTCTCTCAGAAATAAATTTAAAAACCATTAAAAAAATTAAAAAACAAAATTCTTAGTAAACTCAAAAGTAATGCCTCTTTGTTAACACTGTAAAGAATATCCAGATAACCAACATCACTCATGATAAGAAAATACTAGAAATTGTGCCAATAAAATCCAGACATGTTTATTATAATAAGAGCCGACATTTGAGCATTTCTAAATTCCAGGCACTGTTGTCAGCGATTTTATACAGGTTATTAATTTACTCCTCACAACAATCCTATGAAATAGTTACTCTAGCCCTGTCTCACAGATGAGGAAACTGAGGCTCAGAGAGGCAGAATAACTTACCCAACATCACACAGTTGTCCTGATGTTCTCTAATACCTGGTCTGTGTCTAGTTTTCTCCAGCTGTCTCAAGAAATATCATTTTGGACTTGATTTGTTTGAACCAGGGAGGATGAGGTACTTCTAATATGTGGTATTCTTGAATAAAATCCCCTTGGCCCTCAGTGCATTAATGCTTGCTGTGTTAACCAATAGCAACTTCTTCGAGAGATGCAGCAGATGGCCAGTCGTCCTTTTGCCTCCGTAAACGTTGCCTTGGAAACAGATGAAGAGCCTCCTGATCTTATTGGGGGAAGTATAAAGGTGAGAATGTGATTCAGGAGTCCCGAAAACCTGTCAAAACTTATGCTTCTAAGTCTGGGAAACCACAACGAACAAGAGCCTTATTCTGTTGCCTCTTGGGTTTTCCTCTCTTTTTTAACAATGAGACAGCATACTGATGTCAGATACTCTTTTGCTTTCATTTTTCAGTTTTTCATTCATGTCGTTAAGTATTCTCATGTTCAAGGTATTTTAAAATATAAATGATTTGTCTCATATTCTTGAAAGTATTCTGTGGCAAAGTACTGTAAAACTTGTATTGGGAAAAAAGTAAAATTGAACCATTGGTTTTTATTAGTTGAGGAAATTTTCTTAAAGGGACAAAAATCATTAATTCACTGTTCATTCCATGGAATATAAATAGTTCTGACCTCTCCAAAAAAAGTGATGAAGAAAGCGATAAAAGTTTCTCTTGGTGAAATGAAGTATTCCAGATACTCTGGGGAATTAGCTATAGGTCCTAAATTTTCAGATACTTATTGAAGCATTACTGAGCTCATAGGAAGTAGGTAAAATTCCCAGGGAATACTCTCCTATCCCTCCCCACAAAAAGAACAAATCATGAACCAAAACCAGAATCAAGTATGTTGTAAAGTGGTCCCAGATTGGTAACACACCGTGACTGCCAGCTGAGGTAAGTGTATATCTTCTCTGTGGGAAAGCATCCCCAGTTCAGCCCTGGAGGGCCCCCACAGATCAAGATCAAGCAGAGATCACCATGGACAAGAGAGACAAGCCAGCAGGAAAAGGAGTTAGCAGACATCGTGGACAGTGGGTTTAGACAGGACTTCACATGTTAGAGTAGACATCTAAAGAGTATAATATAGCTCTGTATGAAATGTTTAAAGACATGAAAGATTGAATTATAAAGCTGAAGACACCATGAGTCAAGAATGACCAGATCTGAAAAAGAACCAAATGGAGCTGTTAGAAATGGAACATATAGGGATACTGGCTGGCTCAGTCGGCACAGCATGTGACTCTTGATCTCGAGGTTGTGAGTTTGAGCCCCACTTTGGGTGTAGAGATTACTTAAAAATAAAAAATAAACTTAAAAAAAAAAAAGGAAATAGGGATGCTTGGGTGGCTCAGTTGGTTGGGCATCTGACTTCAGCTCATGTCCTGATATCGTGGTTTGTGGGTTCAAGCCCCACATCGGGGTTTGTGCTAACATCTCAGAGCCTGGAGCCTACTTTGGATTCTTTATCTTCCCCTCTCTCTGCCCCTCCCCCCCAATCAGAAATAAATAAAATATTTTTTTAAAAAAGGAATTAGAACTGGGGCACTGGGGTGGCGTCTGGCTTCAGCTCAGGTCATGATCTCACAGTTCATGAGTTCGAGCGCTGCGTTAGGCTCTGTGCTGACAGCTCAGAGCCTGGAGCCTGCTTCAGATTCTGTGTCTCTCTCTCTGACCCTCCCCGGCTCACACTCTGTCACTCTCTCAAAAATAAATAAACGTTAAAAAATTTTGTTAAAAAGGGAAATGTAACATGTAGTGGTTAGAATTTTTAAAATAATTCAGTTCACATGTTAAATAGCATGTCAGACTCAAGAGAGAACTTTTGAACTGGAAGATGAATTTGAAGAAATTACACAGAATGCAGGACAGAGAAACAAGGAGATGGAAAATATGGCAGATAATAAGAATATGGAGGATGGGGGTGCCTGGGTGGCTCTGTTGGTTAAGCATCTGACTCTCGGTCTCGGCTCAGGTCATGATCTCGTGGCTTCGTGGGTCTGAGCCCTGCACTGGGCTCTGTGCTGACAGACAGTATGGAACCTGCTTGGGATTCTCTCTCTCCCTCTCCCTCTCCCCTCTCCTCCACGCCTGCTCATGCTGTCTCTGTCTCTCTCAAAATAAATAGATAAAACTTTAAAAAAAATATATGGAGGATAAAATGAGAAGACCTAACATATATATTTTATATATATATATGTATGTATATAGTATGATGGCCACAATGTGGAAAAATTGGAACCCATGGCACTATTAGTGGGGGGTTTGAAATGATGAGCTGCTGTGAAAAACAGTATTATTCTTTCTCCAGAAAATAAAAATAGAATTACCATATAATCTAGCAATTCCTCTTCTGGATATATACCTGCAAGAATTGAAAACCAGGTCTCAAAGATATATTTGTACACCCATGTTAATAGCAGCTTTATTCACAATAGCTAAAAGATGGAGCAGCCCTGGTGTCCATCAGTAGATAAATGGGTATGCAGATGTGGTCTATGCAAAGAATGGAGTATTATTCAGTCTTAAAAAGGAAGGCAGTTCTCACACCTGCTACAACATGGGTGAACCTTAAGCAACATAAGCCAGTCCCAAAAAAACGAATACTGTATGATTCCACTTTTATAAGATATATAGAGTAGTCAGATCCATAGCGACATAGTATAATGGTGGTTGTCAGGTTGTAGGGGAAGGGGGAATAGGGAGTCACCGTTTAATGAGTGTGGAGTTTCATTTCTGCAAGATGAAAAGAGTTCTGGAGATGGATAGTGGTGAAGGTTGCATAACAACATCAATCTACTTAATGCCACTGGAGCGTACACTTATTAAGACCCAGGGCGCCTGGGTGGCTCAGTCAGTTTAGCATCTAACTCTTGATCTCAGCTCAAGTCTTGATCTCAGGGTCGTGAAGTTCAAGCGCCGTGTTGGGCTTCACTCTGGATGTGAAGCCTACTTAAATAAAGGGAGGGTGTTAAGATGGCAAATGTTATGTGTATTTTACCACATTAAAAAATAACTGGGGAAAAAAAAAAGATACCTAAAGGAGATGATAAAGTGACAGCTGTGACTTCTCATTAATAACACCAGAAGCCAAAGGAACATGGAAGAATGTCTCCAAACTACACAAAGAAAAGAACTGCCAACTTAGAATAGCATGCCTGGCAACTTGGCCTTTCAAGAATGAGGATAGAATGAAGATCTCTTCCAATTAGAAGGAAAGCTGAGTTGGCCACCAAAAGACCTGTACAAATGAAATATCTAAAGGATGTGCTAGAAAAAAGGGAAAGTACCCAGGAGGGGAATTGAGGTATAAGAAGGAATCATGAATAAATGAAATGGTAAACATGTATATGAATCTAAGCAAACATGATAAAACAACAATTTGTGGGAAATAAAAAAACAGACAAATCTTAAAGTACTAAGCGGCACCATATGTCATGTGTCAACAGCATATGACTCAGTTGGTTGCTCCTTAAAACACTTTCTTGACTCCCCTTCCAGGACAGCACACTCTCACCTTGTAGCTGCTCTTTCTCAGTGTTCTTTGTTCAACCCCCTCCGACTCCCCACACCTTTAACAGTGGTGCAGCTCAGTCTTTGGGCCTCCTCTCACATCTTTCACACCAGCTCCTTTGGCTACTGTCTTAGTCCTGTTCAAGCTGCTATAACAAAACACCAAAGACTAGGTGTCGTAGAAACGAGAAATTTCTCACAATTCTCAAGGACTTCTCTAGGAAGTCCAAGACCAAGATGCTGGCAGGTTCAGTGTCTGGTAAGAGCCTCCTTCCTAGTTCATAGATGATGCCTTCTTGCTCTGCTCTTCCATGGTTGAAGGGGCTAGGGAACATTCTGAGGACCCTTTTATAAGGGCACTCGTCACCTCTGAAAGGCCCCACCTCCAAATATAATTGTATTGGGCATTAAGATTTAACATAAGAATTTTGGAAGGACACAAACATTCAGACTACAGCAGCGATCTTTTCCATCATAGGTTTATTTTAATACCATGATCTCTGCTTAGACCTTTCCTGTGAGCCTCTGACTCCTGTATTCCATTGCTTACTCAGTATTCCCACTTCGATGTCTTAGCAGCCATCTCAGAGTTAACGTATCCAGAGCCGAGCTCTGGATGTCACTCCCCACACCTCCTCTCTTTCATATCACTCCCAACTCAGTACATACCACCTCCATCATCCTAGCTGCTCTGATCAGAATCCTCGGATTGTACTTGGGTCATACTTGCTCTCATTCTCATTGGACAACCAGTCCATCAGCACCTGTCTTTGGCTCTGAGGTCTTCCAACTACTGAGCACACCTCCACTGTTGTCACTGCCTTGATCTAGATCACTGCCCTTTCACCTACCCCATCCTTCCCTGTGCTGCAGCCACCGTGAGTCTGGAAGTCATTTTCTTCAACCAAATTGAAGGAACGAATGGCATATTTGGGATATGGCAGACAGAATTCTAAAGATGGCCCCCAAGATTCCCATGTTGTGGTTTTTCAGTCCGACACTACTCTGGGTACTGTAATGAAGGAGTTTTGCAGAAGTAACACAAATCTCAAGGTAGCTGAGACTGTAAGATACCAAGAGAGTTTTCTGTGGCTGGTGGCAGGAGAGGAAACATGAAAAGGACTTGGCCTGCCACCACTGATCTGAAGCTGGAGGGGCCATGTGAGGAGGTCTCTGGAAGAATGGCCCCCTCCAGATCACCAGCAACAAAATGGTGACCTCAGATCTATAGCTACAAGGAACTGGATTCTGCCAGCCACCTGAATGAGTTTTGAAGAGATTCTTCCCTCGAGCCTCCAGATAAGAGTCGGTGTAAATGATAACTGGACTTCCACCTTGTGAAGATAAGAGCTGAGACCCTTGAGAACTTTGTGAGATAAGAGCGAGAAGTTTCTAGAACTGATGGAAGAGGTGAACACACCTGTATCTCTAAGCAGGGAACTTTACAGAACTCACCTGGAACTTCTGACCTGCAAAACTGAGAGAATAAATAGGTACTGTTGTAAGCAGCTAAGTTAGTAATTTGTTACACAGCAGTAGAAACTAATACAGAGGATATATTTAAAAATCACATGGAGGGGCACCTGGGTGGCTCAGTTGGTTGAGCATCCAGCTCTTGATTCAGGCTCAGGTCATGATCTCACAGTTTCCTGAGCTCAAGCCCTGCATCAGGCTCTGCACTGACTGCGGAGCCTGCTTGGGATCCTCTCTCTACACTCTCTCTGTCTCTCTGAAATAAGCCTAAAAAATAAATAAAAATCACATGTGAAGGCTGCAATATTAACACTTGAGAAACACTGCTTTAGGTAATTCTTTGTTTTCTTCCACCAGACTGTTCCCAAACCCATTGCTCTGGAACCATGTTTTGGCAACAAAGCTGCTGTCCTCTCTGTGTTTGTGAGGCTCCCTCGAGGGCTCGGTGGAATCCCTCCTCCTGGGCAGTCAGGTGCGTAGATGAAGGCCAGTGACAAACACAAGACGTATGAACTTGGATGTAGAAGCGATAGTGAACAGTAGTCACATGCCTACCTCGTGTAATTGTAAGGGTTCGGCAAGATGATCCCATTATGCCTGGCATTCCCTAAACTATCTTTCCTGAGGTCACCGTTCTTTCCCAGGGACCAGCCCAGAGCTCCCCACCCTGCTCTGGCTCCCTCAGCCTCTCTGTGGTGTTGATGCTTCCGGCCACACCTTCCCTGGCTGCAGTGTTTTGCTCAGCTCTGCCCCCCCTCTCCTGTCTCCTTTTCCCTTACTCAGCCCGGAATGTAGGACGTCCCCCCTCCGCCCATACATCCTTCCTCAGTCATCTTACCTGCTCGTGGCTCTTCTCCAAGCTGGACACTCTCAAATTGGTATTTCTAGCACTACTGCATTTCTTTGGTTTGTCACTCTGTTTCAACTATAAGGCACAAATAGCAATTATAACAACTTAAAGGAAGTTTTGGAAATGTACTCACAATTCTACCATCCGGCACCCACCTATGTTCATTGTCTTCTTTCCTTTCCAGCTCCAGCCATCAAGTTTGTGGAAATGATTGTATGGATCTAATTTTTATTCTTTGCTTTTCATATAACTCATAAACATTTTTACAGATTACTACATAACATTTTACCAATGTCTTTTATGCAATTCCATCAAGTACACAAATCATAGTTTCGATATACATCCTCTTATCGAACACTAAGGAGATCTGGAACACAGTTTTGGAAAAATCGTGGAGTACTTTGGAGGGATGCCTCAGACAATATGCACAATATGTTTTACACAGCTTTTAGTTCAGATGATGGGGGTTAGGGCTGCCTTAGCCAAAGAAAGCCTTGTGTCTGTGATAAAGTATGTCACAGAAACCTTGCCCAGCCCTTGAGCTCCACAACTCCCCAACTGCAGCCCTCAGACTCAGAGGAGCCTCCAGCCAAGCTTTCAGAATAGTTTCTGGGTCTTTACGAGGAAAGCCTTCAGGCACGATCAGGCCAGATTTATAGTCTTCGTAGGGGAACAGCTTGATTTGCCCTCACCTAGGGATGTGAGTTCAGCTCCTAACTCAGCTTTACCCTTGTTGAGGGTAGAATGACCCACTGACCTGAACTTCTGCACCCCCTAGTTTAGACGGGTCTTCCTCAGGACTCCCAGGGTACCCAGCTCTGCCTTTGCCAGAGCAGCATCACTGCTGTGGATTCCCCATGCGTGCCAGGCACATGCCTCCATTTTATAGGCTCAGTGAAGTAGAATGACAGGCAGCACTCACGTGGCTCCTGAGAACCTCCGTGGGGCGCCGAGCCTGCACTGGGTTTGTTCACGTGCGCCGGGAGTCCACCTCCCAGTACAGAAAGGAGAATGGAACCACTGGTCCCTAAAGCACAGGTGGTGGAGGTGGTGGGGTGATGAGCCAGGTACTGTTCTAAGATTTTTACATGGATTCAGTCAGTGACTCCTCACACAGGCTCTGTACTGCTGTTGTCCCCATCTTACAAATGAGGAAACTGAGGCAGGGGGCGGTTAAAGAACCTGGCTTATTCCAAAGCATGGCCCCAGAGAGTGTCCTAACTTGTGTCATAGGACAGATACAAAAATAACCAGTGCTGGCTGAGTTCTGTGGAATGAATCTGAATTTAGTCAGAGTGCTGCTTTTTCTTAGCACCCTTTTGGAGGCCAGCAGGAAGAATTTACCACTTAAAGCATGGCTGCAATCTTATTTAAATGCTCCAACTGCCAGGCAGAGTTCTTTGCTTCATGGATGTGCTGAACAGCAAGCTACATCTTTTGTGTAAAAAATGGGGAGGGGAGGACAATATGTATTTATATTTGCATCAGCAAGCCCTGAAAGAATATATACAAACTAATGAAAGCAGTGCTCGGATGGAGGGAGGTAGGAGACACAAAGAGGAAGTAAGACTTTTCCTTATGTGCTTTACTTGTTTATCGCACTCCAAGAATATAAAAAAAAAAATTTTTTTTTTAAATTTTTGAATACAAAGCAAGCTGCTCCTTAACACGTGTTCCCGGTGGGCTCTCCCCAGGTCTCGCAGTGGCCAGCGCCTTGGTGGACATTTCTCAGCAGATGCCAATAGTGTACAAAGAGAAGTCAGGAGCCGTGAGAAACCGGAAGCAGCAGCCCCCTGCGCAGCCTGGGACCTGCATTTGAGGCTGGGCCAGGGACTCTCCGTGAGTGAGCGAGCCAGGTGTGGCGTGCCAACGCCGTCTGCAGGGAGGGGGCAGGCGGGGAGATGCTATGCGAAGCGGGCCGAAGACTGGAAACCCTCGAAACATCTGACTCCTCTGCATGTTCACGAGCTTTCTTTGCCGGTTTCTCCCATCTGTGCTCCAGCATCTAACCTTTTACTTTTGCATAGGACATCATTGATTTAATTGCAGGTCCAGGGGTGATCCCGTTGTTGCTGGAGGAGGCCGGGGTGGAGCCAGTGGGAGAGCTGGGAAACGACACTCAGGTTCACTTGTGGAAAACTGCTTTTGGGGCCGTCTCAACTTGCAAAAAACAAAAGATGTAGTGTTTACAAGTAGACATTCATCATCTGTTGTTCTTGAACATGGTCTTTTAAAAATTAGTCAGATGAACTTGTTCTCATCTGAAGCCTGCTGTCTTTTATACAAGATGTGCTACTTAGTCTCGCACAGTGTAGGCAAGTCTCTCTCTTCCAGGGAGTAGCTTTTTTCTAGTTGAGAATTAACAATGGTCCGGCTCTTTTGAATCATATCAAACTAAGGTAGAAAGGGGCTATTTTAAATGTCAAGGTCAGCAGTGTTACTTAGAATGTAAACTGATGTAGTAGGTAGTTTTTTATAGCAACTTGATTAATTTAGTCTTAATCCATTTGAAATTTTCTCCCTCTGTCTCTCTCTTCATCTCTCTCTCACACACATAGACACACGCACGCACACATGTGCATGTGCGTGTGCGCGCGCGCGCACACACACACACACACACACTAAGTGCCTAGACTTTAAATAGATCTAGCAATTGGAAAGTTAGTAAGCCTATGTTTTTACATAATTGCATTCCTACATTCTTATAAAATTTAAATAGCTACCATTGGCAATCTGCTCTTTTTCTAAAATCTGATTTGCAGCCAGGAAAGAATTTTCTCACCCCAGGGAACGTTTAACCTAGCAGCAGGGACTGAGAGGAAAGCGGAAATGACCAAACTGTGAAAGCTCCTGTTTGTGTTGTCATCAGAAGGGTCCCTAAATAAGGTGTGGTCCTCGTGTGCCCCCTGCCCCCCCCAACTCTAGGCCTGATGTTTGCTCCAGCCCTTCTGGCCACCCTGCCAGGACGCCACAGAGGAGGGGACTCATTCATGTTACACATGTCCCTTGAACAGAAAAGAGCATGACAGTACTTGGGACCCCTGCATCAACAAGCAGCAGTGTGTTCCCGTAGCCGGCTCGAAGCTGGCGGGTCATCCTCAGGCTGCTGATGGAATCGCACGCCCCAAGCCTGCAGAAGGACCTGGGATTGTTTGCCTGTTCTGCTCCAGGAGAGGCTCAGCCCAGCACCCCCATCCTCCTTCCCAGACCTGGGCGGTGGCTCTGGGCGGGGCAGTGGCCACTGCAGACGATGAAAAGCACATGGAGAAAATGGATGAGGAGGAATAACTATGCCGAGTGGAAAGTGACCAAATTGAAGTGGGGTAGGGCAGTCCCGCTCTTCTCCCCAGGCCACTACCTGCGTGTCGTGTTGTCCCCGCGTGTGGTGCTCTATATTCTGGCATCATGCAGCGGCCTCCCCAGGTCTGTATTCGCTTCACAAGTTTGGAGTTCATTACCATTACCCCATAGGGATGGACCTTTAGATAAAATGCTCAAGTGTGTGAATTTGGAGAAATTAATACTCAAAAGGGCAAAGACTGCAGCATTTCACCTTTAAATGCAGCGCCTAGAGTAGGGGTGCTGTCTCTTCCCCAGCACCAACCCCTCACCCATGATGAGTTGCCTGGAAAGATGTTTTCAAGGAAGTTGAACCATAAAACACTGTCTGATGCACAAAACACCTCTAGTTTGAGACTCGTCTCTCAAAAAGCTGCTTATTCACATCATTGGTAAAGAGCAGACAATTCTAGAAAAGACCCCTTCTCTTCTAAGCTTCCCACATCCCTGCTCAACACCACGGCACCCACAGAGCCTGTCACAGAGTGGCGCTTTACCCCTGTAATTGCCATGAGGCCTCTTAGCAGAGAGAGGAAAGCCACCGGAGAGGGAGCTCCCACAAGGAAAATCCTTGTTCGTTCAAAGGACCAGTGTTTCTTTGGCCAAAGAAGTCTCTTCCCCATGGGTTCCCAGGCCCTTGAAATAACATGTACTGTGTCCCTTAGCCACCTGGATATTTTATTTTTTTCTAAACGATAGTTTATTTTTAAAAAGGAGCAAGTGATGGTTAATTCCGCTCCAGCAGTGGAAAAGCAGCTGAACCCACCTGCTTCTCCTTTGCAGCCAAGAGTAAGCAATGTCCTCCAGGCTCAGGCCAGAGAAGGGAGCGGCAAGAGGAAGAGGCAGTCAGCTTAGGAGCCAGTTACCAAGAGGGAATCATCTGGAACTTCAGAGAAATGCCTGCGTGTCACAGGAGAGCCTGTATATAAGTTAAAATTGTCATGAAAACATCGATGTTGCACTTGTACATAATTATACAGTAGTGTCCAGAATGTTCATTCAGAGTGTACATAAAACAAAAACCTATGTTAATGTATTTTTATTAAATGTGACGGTGTCTGAATTTTACCTAGTATGTTTGTGCCACATACTGGATATGCAAGTTTGAAGAAGTCCTCTCGTTGGGCCCTGATACACTGATAACAAAGGCAAAAAAAAAAAAAAAAAAAAAGGCACACACACACACCCCATGCCAGTGTGTCCAGATGCGTCTGGTACTAATTGGATGACTCCAAAACAGAAATTGGCTGTCAGTACACAGAGGAGAAATCGGGCATTGAGCCCACTTCCATAGCACTGTGTGAGGAGACGCAAAGGCAGTGGGAAGGGCCCTGTCGCTGTTGTTGGCTCTGCAAGTGCGCCATGAATCTCTCTGTTGGCCTCTTGGTGCTGCGCCTGGCCAGCCGTGACCCATCTTGTCCTGAGGACTGTTTCTCTCAGTCTCTAAGTTCAAAGACTCTGTCAGATTTTCCAAAAAGGGGTTTTCCAGGTTGCATCTGTTTGGTCAAAAATTTTAATGACCATTTCCCAGAACCGTGGCTTCCTATGCTAAAAACTGGGGGTGGGAGTAGGGTGGCTAGTTCATTGACAAATAGCTCCCGTTCCCTCCTGGAGGACTGCTCACAACCTGGCCTCCTGTCCACCCCTAACTCCTCCTCACACACAGTTTGGGGAGAAGTCTGCACTTCCTGTGAGATCACCTCTTAAAGATGGGAGGAGATGTGAGCTAACCCAGAGGAAAAGCAGCTCTGGACAGAAGACTGTCAGCAACAGGAAAATAGCAGAACTTGTGTGGATGAGGCCTGAAGTGCAATATTGCAGACACACCAGGAAGTCTGGGGCGGACGGATGAGAAGACCAGAGCACTATTGGTAGAAAAAAGACATGTTACCTTTTCGGTGCATCTCTGTCAACTCAACAGAGTGCATCTGGGGAGAGGGTGGAGACTCACTTCCGTGGGTGCTGGTGTCATTTTTGAGAACACCTTTGATCCTTTAGTTTCTAGCATCCATCCACCCATTCAATGAGTATTCACTAAGCACTTACTAACAACCTAAGCTAACACTAGGACAGTGACCAAGATGGACAAGAAGCTTCGTGGAATGACAGCAAAACCCAGCTCAAGCCCCTCCTCCTGGGAGACCTCTTCTCGTGGCGGTTCCTGTGAGAACTGGCCACCCTGAGGACAGACCCAGGAAGGCAGGGGTTCAGTCCTCAGGCCGTGCACCAGCTCCCAATCTGAAACATTTGCCCAATTTACCAAACCATGAAAATCACCGTGATGGCAGGCCCGCCAAGAGACATTTCCCCGGGATCGTGCAAACTTCTCGGCACCCTTACCTGCAGGGAAACGGTTTGGAGTGGAGAGGAAAACTGGCGCCTTCGCTTTCAAAGGCAATAATGGAATCGACTTTCAGTAACTGAAATTTGTGCACAAAACATTCTAAACACTAGTGAAGCCTGTTTTGTTGAACTGATTCTGGCTCTGAAAATGTTTTTGTTTTATAGGTATTTACGGTTTTTGTTTTTGTTCTGGGGATTTTTTTGGTTTTTTTGTTTGTTTGTTTGTTTGGGTTTGGATTCAAGCTTAGTTTGTTAATATGTATAATTTAGCATCTATTGCACTCATGTAAATATGGAGTAAGTATTGTAAACTATTTCATTGCTGGGGACTGTGGGTGTTATACATACATTTAGGACTGCAATTTTTTGGTATTTTTTGTATTGTAAAATAACAGCTAATTTAAGCAGGAACAAGAGAATTAAGGGAGGTCTGTGCATTTTAAACACAAATGTGAAGAACTTGTATATAAACAGAAGTAAATACTATAATACAAACTTCCTTCTGAAATAAAAGTAGATCTGGTAAAAATGTGGTTTTTGCTCTGTTTAATTTTGATTTTGTTTTATTTCATTTATTTTTACAGTTTGGTCATTCAAACCTTAAGAAAAGGAAAAAAAAAATGTTTAAAGTGGTTACCAGTTTTCAGACTGTCTCAGAGGAAGCACTTGGCATTCAGTGAAGGTAAAGGTGTCAGACCAGCAGGATGGGCACCTGTTGGGGTGAAGAGGGTACAGAGAGCCCCACCAGCTCGTGAGCAGACTCCCAGCATCCCCACCGTAGCCTGTGTTGCCTTTGAAACAACAGTGCTGGGGAGGGAGAATGGTGTGCGGAGCAGCTCTGCCCTGGCATGGGGTGGGTCCAGCGCTGGGCACAGCCCCGTGTGCCAGAGCACAGCACACACCGAGGCCAGAGCCACCCAGCTGTCCTCGGTCTCTCACCTTCTTGTTCTCTCACGGAGTCCCGAATATTTAGACATTCCAAACTGGTAAATTTCAGGTGTGCTGACAGGTTGAGGACTCTCTGGCCACAGCGTTGTCCTTGGTTTTGAATTTTTGATGTTCTTTCCATCCACAAAGCCCTGTCTTGAGTGCGGCTCCTGTGTGTGGGGCAGGGTCAGAACAGTGCACTTCAGCGCCCTGGTGTGGAGCGCGGGAGCCCTACAAGTATGACATCAGCATAAGGGGAGTTGAGAACATCAGAACACAGTTCAACATGGTTCACTTAGGAGAGGGTGGGTGAGGTGCCAGGCCCAGCCGGCCCACCACAGCTTGGGGCTGGGCTAGGGAGGTAAATGGTTGGGCTAGTGGCCAATGCCAGGTTGGAGAAGACCTTGAAATTATGCTAGGGGGAAGGCTGTGGGTGCCACCAGCTGCTCAAGACAGGATGGAAACCTGTGAGCGTGTGGTGTAATGGTAGAGGCCATGCTGTGTGTTCACCAAACCTGTTAGACTTTACTACCGGAACCACAGGTTAGGTGGGGCACCATACACTGAGCTGTGGCCAGAGAAATGTTGGAATAAGTGATGGACACCAGTTCTGAACTTGGCCCATTCGGTGTTCCCACGTTGGACTCCCTAGAGGTCAGGTGCTAAAGATGTTGGAAGGCACGTGGGTCCCTGAGTCACCAGATAGAGGCAAGCCACCTTAAAATGCATAGCTTTGGCTTAGGTAGTGGCCAGGTGGCAGGCAAGGAGAGAACAGATGGCGGCAGCAGAACAGCCGGGATCCCTGGCAGGCAGTGGAAAACATGTGGTAAGACTGGTAAGTTCGACAACTTGGGAAGTAGTCTGTGTAGCGACTGAGTTTTTAGCTCAGAGGGAAGAAGCTCAAGAAAACCAGAATGTGGTATGTGTTGGTTAATACTGGCTGCTTCTGATGAGGCATCACAACAAAGAGCTGACTTTCTAGAATTAGCCAGTTTATAGGCCGAAGGGAAGGGGGTGGCGAATCCTGAAATCCAGGGTCTTGCAGTGTTAGAGAAGTCGACTTGTCTTGCTTCTGGCCTCAAAACAGTAAGAGTTGCTCATGATCAACAGAGACCCAGTAAACCTCGGCCTCCACGGGTGGGAATCAGGTGGAGGCTGGTCTTCCCACGTGAACCTCAGAACCTCAAGGACAACATCTTGAGGGAGAAGCATGTGAATAAGGAAGCAAAGATACAAAGCCAACTTGAGAACTGCGTCCAGGAAATGACCTGGAAGTGCCATCACTGACCCTGGACCTGCCCGGGAAATAAAAAGTGTAGGTTTTTGAGGGATAATTATGTTGCCAAAGAAACCATTAGCCTGACCCTTAAAACTGAAACCGACCAGGGGCACCTGGCTGGCTTAGTCGGTTAGGCGTCCGACTTTCACTTAGGTCATGATCTCGCGGTTCGTGGGTTCGAGCCCCGCGTCAGGCTCTGTGCTGACTGCCAACTCAGAGCCTGGAGCCTGTTTCAGAGTCTGTGACTCCCTCTCTCTCTGACCCTCCCCTGCTCATGCTGTCTCTCTCTCTCTCTCTCTCTCCTAGAAATAAAAAAAAAAAAAAAAATGAAACCGACCAACCAGTACTGTGGCTGTTGAGGAAGCCTTCAGTTAGAGCCACCGGCAAGCAGGTCGTTGTGGAAGCTGTGTCTGAGGGCACACACCCCATCGCCACCCGAATGTGGCCCCAAGAATAGATAGGAGCTCTTGTCAGGAACTTCTCCCACCGCAAGGCAGGGCCCCCAAAGGATTTCAGGTCACTGTATGTCTGCCACCCTCCTTCCTGCAGGAGGGCGCTTTCCCTGGCCAGACGCCATGTAGGGACCAGGGAGTCCAGTGAACAAAACAGACCCAAATCCCTGCCCTTGAGTTTACCATGCAGCTGGGGAGACAGATAATGAGTATGTCAGATGGTGAGCTCTGTGAAAGTACATACGAGATAGGGGCCAGAAAGTGTGGGAGCCAGGTGCTCCTTTACGTAAGTGAGGCAGGGGAAGGCCACTCTGACAGGTTGACAGCTGAGCAGAGAGCTGAATGGAGGGAGCTGGCACATGGATGTTTGGGACAAGAGCAGTCAGAAATAGAGGGGGCAGTCGGCACAGAGGCCTAGAGGTAGAGTAGGCCTGCTGGGTCTGAGCGGTTCTGAGGCTGCCAGAGTAGCTAAAACAAAGCCGGCTACCCTCTCAGTGGCGGAGTTGGGCCTGGCCACAGCCTGTGGGGCACGGTTCTCAACTGGCACAGGGCCACCCCCTGAGGGACATTTGGGAAATAGGTGGGAGTGATTCTGCCTATTGCATTGCAGGGGGAGGCGCTGCTGTGATTTAGTGGCTGAGCCTGAAGGTGGTCATCCTGTGACACGTGGGGCGGCCCCGCCCGGCCAAGAACAGACCCACCTCCCACTCGATGTTTAAATGTCTTGCTTGATGTTTGTGGAGATGAGAAAATCTGTTCCTAATTATTTTAGTCTAGAAGCCAACCCTGTTGCAAACACAGGATTTGAGAGCTGGTTTGATTCAGTCTAGTTTTCCAGAAATGCAACTATTGTGTAAAATCAAGGGAAGACCAAACTTTGTTTTCTTCAAAACTTTACCCAGAGCTGGTCATCGTTTTGGAAAATTCCGTCACTCCTGGTATCCGTGTCCGCAGCCCCGCCTACACACGTGTGGGCTGCATGTGAGCAGACACCCTGTGGCCCTGTGTTGCTAGCTGTGTGACACACCTGACACAAACCCCCTTCCATCTTGTGTCGCCAACACAGGAAAGGGACTAGACCAGGTGACCTGTTGCTTGTGTGAGGCGTACTGCACAGGGCGCTAGGCTCGGCCTGCCTCGGGGCCCG